TATGGGTGATACTTTCAGAGGCCACCACAGCAATTACTAATTACTACTATAGAAACACTGCTTTCTAATACGTTAATAGGACGCTTAGGTTCAACCTGCGAAATCTTAAACCCCAAACCCTATAAACCTACTTCGAAATTCAATTCCTAAGCTTCGTGTTGAAATCTCTGGGACCCATGGGCATCGTGGAACCGAGGATTGACAGCTCCATGTCTCAGGCAGGATGGCTTGGGCGGGCGGTTCGGATGAGGGTCAGGATTTGATGTAGGGGCTGACCTGCTAGGGGTTTGAGGCGCCAGACTAGTCTGTGATTGTCCAGAACACCTTTCATGATTTCCAGAATACTTTTTATGATACATCCCTTCAAGCGCATTCTATTCATTAGGGGTCACAGTAGATCTTGGGCTTCATGGGGCTAGGGCTGGGGCTCTTCGACTTTAAGGCGTTATGAGGCGTCTTTGTCGTGTTTCGGGCCCGAGTTTGGGGTTACAGGGCCAGGTGCGTGGTTATCAAAATTAGGGTCCTTTCATATTGGTTCCCTACTATATTACGGCACCTATGATTTAGGGTATCCAAAAAGGGACCTGAATTTGGACAACTACCCAGGTGGAGGACTTCACATTTAGATGCTTTAAGGTTTAGTTTAGCGCCGAAGCTGGTTGTTTGTCTTTCGTTCTGTATTTTCGGCTGGTGGAGGCGGGGTTAGCTCGTTCGAGGGTTTAGGAACTACCCCGAATCATAAGGCTCAAACTCCTCAACCCTGAATCCAAGCCTGTGTGGAGTTTTGAGGGTGTAAAGAGCCTTACACGTTGGGCACTGCAGGACCGTCGGTCACAACTCCCAAAACCCAAACCAAAGCCTCGCACTCTCCTTTAAGGACTTTTATAGAACCCCGATAGAACCTTTTAAGGACCCCAATGAAACCCTTACGGAACCCTGTAACGGCCAGACATTCCCAGTCCTTTGAGTCGAATTTATCTAAGCTCTTAGGCCGCAAGCCCACGCTGTGCGCTAAACCTCCACCCCCCAAGCCCTGTTGCAGGGTTAAATTAGACCCTGCTTAGAGGATCATGAGACTTAGTAACCAGGGCCATAACTAAGGTTACTACACTCATACTTACATATAACCCCGGGTACGTATAACCCCACTTACTAAGTCCCATGATCCTGCAAGTGGGCCCTAAGCCTTAAACCATAACTCCGCCAGGTGCATGCACTGCAGCTGGCGAGGCCGCAGAGGGTGTCATGTGATGCTTTTCCCCAACAATGCAAGTCTCTGGTTGTGGGGTGTGAGGTTTAGGGTTTGGGGCTTAGGGCTTAAGGCTGAGAGTTTCTTGGGGGCGGGCAGACACGTATTTTTATGAATGGTTCAGGTTGATCAGGGATAGTCTCCTGAGTCGTTCCGACCCCATGTAGATTGCGCCGCGCTTATAAGCAATGCTCGTCGAATTTGCCTATACTGGGACCGTGAACAACTGCACGGGTAGGATAATACAGACGATAGAGGCCACAGACTTCATTAGCAATAATTTCCCCGTATAGTCTCTGTTTTGGCCTATATAATGTAGCATACGCCTGAACGTGGAACGTCGTTGTGTTCGGCGCTGTTGCCGTTGCCTAGGCTCCACTTACCCCTACAGTACATCTTTTGGCCCTTAAGTACCTCCCTCTTTTGCTTACTTTAAGGCCGAAATATGTGTCATACTGAGCACATGGAGCCTTAAAGGAATCCTTATACTACCCTCAAAGGAGCCCTTAAACGATCCCTTAAGTGGGCCCTTCAATCAAGCCTTATGCTACCCTCTAAGGGAACCCTTAAAGGATCCCTTAAAGGACCCTTACTTGGAGGATCACGGGACTTAGTAAGTAAGGCTATAAGTACCTTAACTGGGGTTATAAGTAATTATGAGCATAGTTACTATAGTTAATTATAACCCTGGTTACGAAGTCCCATGACCCTTTAAGTAAGGGGGTTGCAGTGATTCGACCAGGCAAGAGCTGCTTGCTGTACAGCCCTCGCCTCGGCTCCGTAGCACTGTTTCCATGGTTCTTGTTAGGGGATTTACCTGGGGAAGGGGTTTTTGTTGGGGAATTTTAAGTTAAGTTACCTTGGGTTTGGGGTTGAGATTTTAATTTAAGTTCCATAATAGGAATCTATAGTAAGTACTATGGTTCTTTATGAAGGTAGCTTTAGGCATTAAGGGTTACAAAAAGAGTTCCTTTATTAGGGTTTGGGGTTAAAACGTATTGAGTTTTGGGTCCAGGGCTGAGGCTGAGGGTTCATTTTAGGGTTTGGGGGCCAGAGTTAATGGTTTTAAGCCAAAAGCAGTCGCCATCCGAGCTTCTGGCAAGCCTAGCAGCTGCAGCACGCTCATAGGCCCTGAACCTAGCAAGCCTAGCCCCATGGCATTCCTGATGTTCCTCAGCTTTTCGTCGGTTCATGACTTTCAGTTTACGGCTGAGGGCCGAGACCGTATCAAGCCCCCTCAACCCGCCATCCATATATCGTACGGAGAAGTTAATTAACCGCCCTGAACCGCAAACGCTCAACCTTAAACCGTGAAATCTCATACGGATTGGCCTTCCACCTGCTAAGACTTGGGCAGACGGAAAAGAGAATCCACAAAATCACAAAAACAAAACTCATGCCACCCTCATGCGTTTTAGGGGCTGGGCCCGGGATCCTTAGCCGGACCTCCGTCTGAAAAACCAAGAACCCCAAGGGTCCAAAGGACCCAAGAATTAGGTATTTGGTTTTAAGATAGTAATTATATAGGTTATGATTTTGGAGAGTATATGATTATTAGTCATTAGTAAGGTACGGACCCTTGGAGAGGCCCTAAACCCTAAACCCTCAACACTAAATCCTGCAACAGACCGCCTGACACTTGGACCCTTGGGGGAACCCTTCTAAACCGTTGTACCCTAAACCCCTGAACGGCCCAAAGCCCCATGCTCGTCAACCCGGACTCCGATATACCATTCAGGGTTTAGGGTTTAGGGGTTTAGGGTTTAGGGGTTTAGGGTTTAGGGGTATAGGGGTTTAGGGGTTAGGGGTTTAGGGTTTAGGGTTTAGGGGTTTAGGGGTTTAGGGGTTTAGGGGTATAGGGGTTTAGGGGTTAGGGGTTTAGGATTTAGGATTTAGGGTTTAGGGTACCAATCAAAGCCCTTGCAAGCCTCTACTGTCCTGTAGCTTCTCGTTTTGGATAGTCTCTGCCTTCCTGGGTTCTTGCTAAGGGATTTGATTTAAGTTACCATAATAGACTAGTAGATCCCTTTTATGGTAACTTAAATTAACTTCCTTAACAAGAACCCAGCTTGTTCCGCTTTAACTCAGCTCGCTTCGAGGTACAGCTCATCACTCTGGGGCACAAAGCCCCGGGGGCCACGAAAGATGGGTGCTGCATCTCGGCACCGGTTTACTCCTGTAGCTTTGCTCATTTTCCACGTTTAATAGCGGGTCCGTAAGCTCTTTGATAGAAAAAACATGGTCGATCAGGCTCTCCTTATTCTGGTAACTTGAACGGAGGAAGTCCAGGACCAGAAGCAAGTCTAACTTCCCACGGATCCAGTGTTAAGGTTCAGGATTCGGGTTGTTGCCATTTGGGGCCTCAAGTTTAGGGATTGGTTCAGCAGTCAGTCCAGCTATCCCCTCGCAACAGCCGTTCTTCATTACTGTAACAGTCGAAGAAAGCTGGCTGCCGGCTGAACCACCTCCTGAACATCGCAACCCCTGACTTTGAATTTTGTAAGCGACGGGCCACATCCGATCGTGCCAGCCGAACCGGGCCGAACCATACAGTCCGAAGCCTCAAAACCGAAACCCTCAAACCCAAACCCTAAAATCGGTAAGTGCCACGGCCCCCTTCACTCGTCCCTGTTGCTCCCTGAAGCCGAAGCAATGAACGAGCCAGGTCATTCCAAAAGTGCAGCCTAGTGGTGAGCGGATGATATGCAGGAGGGTTTGGGGAGCCCGGGAATTCTCGGGACTGAAGGCCAAAGCAGTTTAGGTTTTAGGGTTTAGAGTTATAGACGTCTGAAGGAGAGCAATTAGATCATCTCATAGTCTCCGTAACTACATTACAAGTGCACCCCATAGCTCCGTTGTCCTTATGTTGAGCCTCTATATTCTATGACTACCTTAAACCCTGAATACCGCCCAAGACCCTAAACTCTAGATCCTGTACCTCCTGAACGCAAGAGGCAAGAATACCTGGCTCTTTAAGCAAACGCAGACATAAGCCTGATTCCTTCCACCTTTTGTTCAGGCTTCAGGGCTTTGGATGGTTCAGGGGCCTAGGTTTACTTAAAGGGTCGTGAGACTTAGTAACCAGGGCTATACCTAAAGTATCTATACTTGTAATTACTTATAACCCCAATTAAGGTACTAATAACATTACTTACTAAGTCCCATGATCCTCCAAGTAGGGTTTAGGATGGTTTAGGGCTTTGGAGACTGTCGACGGTGTAAAGTTTAGGATAGCCTGGGGTTAAAGCTTAGGGTCAATAGTTGCTGCTGAGGTTTACTTGCAGGTTCATGGTTAGTTCTAAATGGGGCTATACACTACAACAGATATTTGGGGTGCTTTAAGTCGCTTATGTGTTTTTGTACAGGAGTTCTCAAGCGATTCTTGGGATGAGATGCTTCCGGCAAGGTTCACCCGTACTTCCAAGCACGGTTCTGAACATGTCGTACAAGTTGCCGCGTTGCTCAGAACTGCCTCTGCATCCCACTTGTTGCAAGACTAACACATCCGTGTTTAATGTCTTGGGGTAGATACCTATTGATGATATAAATCCTGCACTACCTTCATGACCCTAAACTATGGGAATTATGGTATATTCCTTATTACGGGTAATGCAGGATTTGTATCATCAGCCGTATCAATCCCTAAATTCTTCCAGGCCCAGGGCTTTGGCCAAGAGGACACTGTACAGGCTGGGTGTGAAATCAACTTGCCGGATTCCTGGAGACTCTTAGCATTAGCATGGCCTATGCCATGTTGGCTTCAATGGACCCGGGAAGCGATACCCCTGCAGCAGCCACTCTGGATGAGGTCGGCGATGTGCGTTTGGAGTTTGGAGATGATCCTGAGAGCATTATGCTGGCCAGCTCTCATCTGCTCCGCTTGGTTTCTCCTGTGTTCAACCACATGCTTCAGAGTGGCATGAAGGAAGCGCAGCAAAGCGTCATCAAGGTGGATGTGGCCAGCAAGGTTGAGTTCGAAGTCTTCTACGACTTACTGTTGCCAATGGCATGGAGCACTGAAGTAACGGAGCAAAATGTCGATTCGCTTCTTGCAATCAGTGACTACTACCAGGTAGAGAGCATCAAACAGAAATGCGAAAGTCGGCTCCTTCGTCTTCCGCCCACCGGTTTCCGTGTTATGCAAGCGCACAAGTATGGCCTGAAGCAGCAATACCTGCGGTGCGTTGGTGCCTTGGCCGAGAGCAGCACAAAGGAGGACTTGGAACTTCTCCGACAATCGGAGCCGGACATCCTCCTGGAGGTGGCCTTAAGAAAGCAAGATGTCTTGAAGCCACTCTTGCCGGTCAAGAGGATGAGGAAGGAGATTGCCAAGTGCAAGACCGCTCTAGATAAGGATAAAGACTCTGATGACGATGATTCTGAGTCTTACTCGGATGATGATGAATATGCGAAAGCTCGAAAACGAAATCGAAAACGAGTGAGAAGCGTACTAGGAAAGATGTTGCGTGCCTTGCAATGATCTGCGCCATGGGCGTTGCGAAAGGCCGCTTGCAACCCAGACCCCCGGGAGTAGATCCCTTAATGGGGGTTCCTATAAAGTACCCTTAGTAGTATAGGGCCCCAAATAGGGGATCTACTTTCTAGATCCTCCCGGGGGTCTGGGAAGGAAGGTGGCCCAGTAGAGTTTCGAGTCGCGTTGCATCGAGGAAAACCCACGCCTTGGGGCGGATCCTCTTCTGAATCTGCGGGCCGTTCTCCATAACAGTAACCATCATCATAATCAACCATATAGTCATCGTCATAGTTATAATCAGAGGCTCGGCGTATGCTAAAGAGTACATCACTCTCGGAATAAGGACCCTGCAGCACACCCTCACGTAGAGAGCCTGTGATATTGTCTTAAGTAGTTGGGGGCTGGTTTCAGGTTCAGGCTTAGGCAAACGCCCGTGGCAGGAAGCATCTGGCACTGGTGTAGGTGAATGTAGGTGTCTCACGCATAGCCTTATCTTTGTGGCTTATTGAGGCCCGCGCTGCCCGGAAGAATTTTCAAACAAAAATCACCATGATTTGTGGATTCAGGCTCTGAGAGTTTTCGGGTGAGGGTTCCCCCCAAAAAGGCATGGGGCTGCAGATGCAGTTTACATCAGTTCAGGTGCAGGCATCCATCTGGGTGATTGTCAAAATGATAGTCATTTTTATGGGTCACTAATATAGTACGGCACCTAATATTTAGGGTACCCCCAAAAAGGACATAAAGGGACCATAATTTTAACAATCCCCCATCTGTTTTCTGTTTAATTCGGGTTCCTTGTTGCTAACAGTTTAGCTTTGTTCGTGATTATGTCCCTGCGTTGCTACTACCTATAGTCTCCATTGTAGTTCCTTTTACTGGTAACACATTTTTATTTAGGCTTCATTGAAACTTTAACGTAACCCAGAAAAGACTTGCAAGACTGTACAGACTATAAGTAAATATCGTCACGCTTGCGGGGACTCGGCGCGAACAAGTTTCAATCGTGTGAAGAGATGCAACATCTTCACGGGCGACCTCAACCCATAAACCCTAAGCCTTAAACCGGAAACCCTAAACCCTAAACCTTCAAGCCTAAACCCTAAACCCAGGCCCCCTTCGCAGTGGTTTGGGTTCTCAGGTTCCGTTGGGTTTCAGAACTCTTGCCAACAGTTTCAGAATACAAACAAGAGGCCTGGGCGTTCTTTGGGGTTTAGGGTTTACGGATTTGTGGATGACCTGTCCAATCCTTGCAAAATATTGAAATCGAAGGAGAACCCACAGCTGGCAGAAGCGCGCTTGCACTGGCAACAGCAACAACTAGCAAACACAGAAGCAAGCTGCAGTTTTGGAAGGGGGGGCAAATATTCGCAAGAGCGAGGGCAGCATGAATACTGGTGACATCTTCTGATTTGCCACGAAGTTTAGAACAACGGTGTTTGGGGCTGTGTTGCTTGCTTTGCCTTGCGAGCGTACCTTCAACCGTTCGAATGCATGGTTTTAGGGTCCATACAAACATTATAAAGTGACCCTGGAATACTTCCCTACGCCTTACTAAGTTAGGGTTCGGGAAGCAGGGTTTGAAGAGGATCGGGTTCAGAGTGTTGAGGCTTTGCGGGGATGAATGATGCAGACGCGGCTCGAGAAGCCACACTTGCACTCGCGTATACTCGCGTACTACTTACAGCTTCGCTGATGATTGCTCTGCCATGTTGGTCCTGGCTCAGGATGTGAAGGTTTGTAGCAGTCAGCTTGGCATTGTTAGGAGAGTTTCAATTCTAACATTCAGCACCATCCTCAACAGCAGTCAGGCTTTGTTTGTTGGCCATACATGCCTGGTGAAGAGGAAATTCACACTGTTTGTTTCAATCACTGGACAGTTAGCACCAGTAGTCCTTGGCTCATATACGGGTCGGTGTAGTATATCTGGAGCCTATATAGTGCTGGCAGCTTCAATGCAAGGGCAATGATGATGAACAGAGGAATTAAAAGGCCAGCAGAGGACACTGCCGCAGACAGCACCGAGACGCCCACAGCAGCCACGCTTGAGCAGGTCGGCGACGTGCGTCTGGAGTTTGGAGACGACGCTGGGAGTTTTATGCTGGCCAGCTCTCATCTGCTCCGACTGGCCTCTCCTGTTTTCAACCGCATGCTTCAGAGTGGCATGAGGGAAGCCCAGCAAAGCGTGATCAAGGTGGATGTGGCCAGCAAGGAGGAGTTTATCACGTTCTACAGCTTACTTGGACTGTGGGCATGGAGTGCCGACAAAGTGACCGAGGAAAACGTGGACTCGCTTCTTGCAATCAGTGACTACTACCAGGTGGATATCATCAAGCAAGCCTGCGAAGACTTGCTGCTTACTCTTCCACACACTGGTGCTCGCCTGCTGCAAGCCAAGAAGCACCGTCTCGAAAGACAGTACCTCAGGTGCGCTGATGCTGTGGCCAAGTTCAGTACAAAGGAGGACTTGGAGGTGCTTCGCCAATCCGATCCGGCTGTCCTCCTGGAGGTGGCCCTCAAGATGCAAACGATGTTGGACGGCTTTATGAACGTGAAGGACACTGTGGCAGAGAGTCGCGCCAAGCTGTGGGACATTATGCTGCAGTCTGAAGCACTTAAGCAACTCATGGCCACAGATGAGCGAGTAATAGATGCCCTGCACCATGCGACCGGGTCGATATTGAGATTGCATTACCTCATGAAAAGCTGTTCCATCGATTGATGCAGAAGTCTTTGACGTCCTGGTGATTTGCTAGGTTTACGTCTCCTGCGTGAATGCCAGAATTTCCAAATGGAGGTGTGAACAGGTTTGAAATCATTTTGCCACCAGGAGACTGCGGCAGATGACTGCCGAGTTAAGTTGTCTGGCACTGCCAAGCAGCTTTCGGCAGCCACTCTGATGATGGTTGGGTTGCCATCGCCCACCAGTAACGGAAAAGCAAGTGGCCTCGCCTGCACGTGTCGTTGAATCTGACACGCTTGACCTTGACCCTAAACCTGAACCCGAAAAGCCAACAGCCCTAAATCCCCAAACCCGGAAATCCTAAACCCCCTAAACCCTAAACCCTAAAACCCTAAAAACCCAAAGCCCGAAAACCCTAAATTGATGGTGAGAATCACGTTGAAAGGACTCTTCACCCGGAGCAGGAGGGCTTGGTGGCCTTGCAGAAGGCAGGAGATGGCAGGTTTCGGGGGCTGAGGGTTTGGGGTTTAGGGTTTGGGGCGAAGAAGTTGTGACTATATGCACGTGTTCGTTCATGGCCACTCTGACTTCGGATCGATGCAAGGATTCCATAAGCGCTTTCGCGTGCGAGTCTTGCCCTGCTGGGTTAGCATGAAGCTCAGTTTCCTTGTTTCTGGGGGTGGGGATGTCCAGGCTTTCTGGTTTAGGGGTGCTTTTATGTTGTTCGATGTTGTTCGGCTATACTGGCTGCGGAGCTGGTTGTAGCTTATGCTTCGTCCGCTAGGTTTCCTTAACGCCTACACAGCCAACGACCTACCCGCAGCTATCAGATTGTCCGAGGGTTTGCTTTGGAAGATGCCCGGTTAAACCCAAATCAAAACCTTGGCACTTGAAGGATCACAGGGTTAAAGGTACGATTGCCTTACCTGCGGTACATTTACCCCAATCCATGAGCCGCAGCTCCAACACCCTGATCCCTGCCACTCATCCGACGGTTCCCTAGTAGTTTCTACGCGAACCTGAACCCGAAGCACTATGATGAACGGCCCCAAGCCCTGAGCCCCTAATTAATTTAGGACTCTGTGCGAAGTGGGTGTAAGCTGTTTGCGAGGCAAACAACACGTCGCTTATCCACTCCTTCCACAACAAGCCTGCACCCCAGGGTATGGCAATCCGAAAACTTGACATCACAGATGACTGCACCCAATGCCCCCCTAACCTTAAACCCCTAAACTCTAAACCCTAAACCCCTAACCCCGAAGCACGGCACAGGGCCCGCCGCGAGGAGTGGGATCTTTGAAGTAGGGTAGGTAAAGGCCAAGAATTCCTCCACCTAACATCGGGACCTTAATAAGTAGATTAGGGTTCCCTTTAAAGATATACTTTAAGAGGGGGCTGTAAGGAATCTATAATAATAGGGTTCTTTATTAGTGGTCTAAATAAGTAACTACGTTATTGTAGCGGTTCCTGAATGTGAATCTCTGAATATAGTAGAAAATATCCCCGCAAGCCCTATTCTCGTTACTAAGGCTCCTACATTACGACATGACACCAAGCCAAATTCCAAAGTATCCTGAGGCTTTAGGGTTCAGGCTCCGGGTTTGAGGGTTTAGGCGTTGTCAGAACACGGCAACTCGAAACTCTGTAAGCTTGAACCCAGAGACTCCGAAACCCCTGGCTGAAGCAATCTGTCCGAAGACGAAGTCGTGCTGCGGATCCCTCCATGCTTTAAGGTAGTGTGATTCGTTCAGGGGGTTGGGAGTCTGTGGGAAGCCCGAAACCGTCTTAAACTAATTGAACCCGAAACATCTCGAGGTTTAGGAGCGTAGGGGTTTCAGTATCTTTTGAAAGTCCGAAGAATGAGTGAAATCTGATGGAACAGAAGGGCCGTATACTGCATGTCTCATTGGATCTCCCAGACGTCAGCTAAACATAGGTACCTACAGCCCCCAAGTCCTGCTGAGGCTCCAAGCTATAAAGTCGTTTGCGATCTTCATGTTTGAATGCATGCACGGGTGTGGATATGCTGGTATGTCGGGCAGGTAAGTGCTGGTGTGATGGCAGGTCGGTACGTCTCCGTTTCGGGGTTTGGGGTTGAGGGGAGAACTTTACGATGTTATTCGTCGTATAAAAATATGTAGGTATGTAGGCAGGTGCGTAGATGTAGAAATGTAGATATGCAGTCGTGCATGTTGTATGCATGCATGCATGCATGCATGCATGCATGGAGGTGTATATGTGTACCGTTGTGTATAGGCATGCTGACGTTTTGTGTGGGTTTATCTGCCATGTGCTAGCGGAATTTATCGTTTATCTATATATATATATATATATATAACTAGTGCTGTAATTTGCACCCAGCTGCTTTCGTTTTCTCGGATGTTATGTAAATGGGCTGCAGTCTCTCACAAGCAGGGGAGTACCTAGTTACAATCACAGTAAGTAAGGTAAGTCATGTCTTCGCATCGCCTACCTGACCTCAGCATTGCGTGTCAGCAAGTGGGCTTCCAGGGCTGGACCGTGAACACTGAACCCTAGACTCATAAGTCATGCGGCCCAGGCCACCCAAGTGGAACGAGCAAGTTGGCGCCTTCGTGCTGAACTTCAACAAGCGAGTAACGCAGGTAGCTGGGATCAACAAAGAGGGTTTTGCGTTTTGCAAAGACTTTAGGGTTTTCAGGTGCAGGAGAGAGAGAGAGAGAGAGAGAGAGAGAGAGAGAGAGAGAGAGAGAGAGAGAGAGAGAGAGAGAGAGAGAGAGAGAGAGAGAGAGAGAGAGAGAGAGAGAGAGAGAGAGAGAGAGAGAGAGAGAGAGAGAGAGAGAGAGAGAGAGAGAGAGAGAGAGAGAGAGAGAGAGAGAGAGAGAGAGAGAGAGAGAGAGAGAGAGAGAGAGAGAGAGAGAGAGAGAGAGAGAGAGAGAGAGAGAGAGAGAGAGAGAGAGAGAGAGAGAGAGAGAGAGAGAGAGAGAGAGAGAGAGAGAGAGACATCGCGGTCGAAGCAAGCACGGTGTTGGCATCAATGTGTTGTTTCATGACTTGAGGGTACCAGGTTGTCCTCAACACTGTTGCGATTGCTCCCAGTTCCTTCAGCACCTGCTTTAATGTTCTGCCCTTAGTCCATCTATGCCACCTCTCTTGCAGGGCGGAGCCTTGACCATTCAATGGTCCACACCATTAGCCAAACGCTAGCCCTTGATGGCTTACGGTTTGGGGTTTCCCTTTGAGCATGTTCATCTTCTTCTCAAGCTGCTCTAGAGCTGTAATCAGGATCTCTGCTAGAGCTTTGAAATGACAGTTGGTGATCCCAAGTCTCACCTTCTGCAACGAAATTCCCAATGGATGAGGCGTCTGTGAAGAACTTTCAGCTCACCACCTCAGATGATCCAGACACGGCAAGGGGGGATGGGTAGGGGTGTCTGGCATGTAGGGAGCTTGATTTTCAGGCTTGGGGCTCAGGGTTGGCAAAGGGTTAAGTTTACGTGGGGTTCACAAGTTAATGTTAATAAGGGTTTAGAGATTACGGTTGAGGGTAAATTTTTGGATTCAAAGCCAAGTTCATGCTCTGCGTTGACGACGGGTCTTGCAGCTTTGTGACCATTGGTTTTCAAGCCGTTGTAACTCTAAGGGGCGCCTTTCCAAACGAAGCCTCCAATTGTTGAGGCCTCCCCGGACCTTCCAAGTGTGGATTCGGATTTAGGGTTCTGCATGTTTCTGCACGGTTCTGCGGTTTCGGGGTTCGGATCTGCATAGTTGTTTTTGCCGGAGGTTGGGGGTTCTGCTCCTTTACAAATCTACAATCACGCAATCTACACAGATTGGGGCAAAGCGATCGGGGGTCGATTGGTGAAACCGAAAAACCCGAAACGTCAGCGAGTTCTTGGTGATCGATAGATTTTTACCGAGTCAGAGAGTCCACGTATACTACCATTATAGAATTCGGCCCCTAAAGACAATCCTTATTATGGTCTTGGGGATCTAGTTCCACGGTTGTACTACATATGGACACGAAAAGCCACGTTCAGGTCTTCCTCCAGTTCGGCAGGGTCGGGAAGGCCGACGTGGGGATACTTTCGGGTTTAGGCTTTATAGGCTTAGGGTGCATTGGGCCCTTAACCTCAAACCTACACCCCAAGACTAACGCCCTAAACCCTAAACGATTTGGGGCTCTAGAAATCGGATCAGGTTTAGGGTAGGTATTATGGAAGGACGGCTGCAGGTGGTGGGGCAAAAGCTCAGGGAAGTTTGGGGCTTCAGGACTTTGGAACCCTAAACCCCCAACCCTTTAACCCTGAACCCTAAACCCGCAACCCTGTACCCTGAACCCTAAGCCCTGTAATTTGTGTCATATAGTGGCTTCAAAAGTACCTACACTAGGGGCTCCTTATCATAATTAGAATATAATGGGCCCCAAAACCTTGTTCTAATTATTAAGGCACGTATAGTAAGGGTTCAGTTCAATGTCGAGGTCTTTCAGGGGTCATTCGAGGCTCCAGCCTTGCTTAGCCATGGATAAGAAGTTGGCGTTCGGGAGGTTTTCGAGTTTAGGGCTCAGGGCTCAGGGGTTAGCTGTGGGTTTAGGGTGTGGGGGTTTAGGGTTTGGGCTTTTTTTATAAAGCCAAACATTCCTGCTCCCCCTGAAGACTGCGAATCCCGTACTCAACAAAACTGAGCACCGGAACCTCCCGGAAACGGGAACTCCCTAAACCCTAAACCCCAAGACTCTAAACCCCTTAACCCTAAACCCTAAAACTATTCTCGTGGTGATGTTTGTTCATGCTTGACGTACCGTTAGTGCAGTTTTGGCGTGCGTAGCTCTTGCAGTTCCAATCTGTGCGAATAGGCTTCCCAAAACTCTCTACCCTTAGTGCTGAAGGACGTCTTCAACATGGACTTCAAGTTCCCTTTCTCGCCATTCCAAGCCTTTGCCATCTGCCCCGGCGCTCATCTTTTGGAGCGTCGTGCTTTGTTGTGATACCGGGGCCTTTATACTTGGAATAAGTGTTTCTGGGGTATACAAGATTATAAAAGCAGGGGCAAAGAAA